CCCCAAAACCCCAAAACCCCAAAACCCCAGTCTGCAAATCAAATTTTGTAATTAAGAGATAATATTATAAAAGTATAAATTTCCCACAAAAATATAAACTTTAAAATGCACTCTGAGTAAAGACTATGGGTCGAGAAGTATAGGCCCCTTTGTATTGAAGATGCTTAACAGATTCATCGTGAAACCTATAAAATGCTGGGTAAATTAGCATAAAGTGATGATTTCCCTCACATTCTATTCTATGGACCATCAGGTGCTGGCAAGAGAACTCTAACTAAGTGTTTGCTTTAAGAACTTTACAAGACCAATTCAGTGCATAAAATCAAGAGTGAACACAAGGAATTCAAAGCTAGTGCAACTAGCTCGACTATTGTTGAATGTGTTGTTTTCAGTAGTAACTTTCATATTGAGGTAACACCTAGTGATGCAGATAATCAAGATAGAGTAATTGTTTAAAAACTTATCAAGGAAGTGGCTGGTTCTTAACAACTTGACACTAAGGCCCAAAAATCTTTCAAAGTTGTTGTCATTCATGAGCTAGACAATCTAACTAGAGAGGCTCAGGCTGCTCTCAGAAGAACTATGGAAACTTATATGCCATATTGCAGAATTATAGCTAACTGTGAGAGTTTATCTAAAGTAATTCAGCCATTAAGATCAAGATGCCTTCAAGTGAGAGTTCCAGCACCTTCTGGTCAAGAAATTACTAGAGTTCTAGATTAGATTTCAAGAACAGAAGGATTTGATCTTCCTTCGTAACTTGCCTTTTCTATTTCCAATTACTCAAGAAGAAATTTGAGAAGAGCAATTATGATGTTATAAACTGCTAAATTGAAGAATGAAAAGCTGAGTGATAAGACTTATATTCCAGCACCAGAGTATGAGACTTACACTAGAGATATTGCTAAAATGGTTGTTCAAGAGTAAAGTCCCAAATAGCTGAGGCAGATCAGGACTAAGTTATATGAACTCTTAACTAAGGGTATCACTTCAGATATGATTTTCCAAATTTTAGCAAGAGAATTCCTTAAGAAATCGCAATCTAATGATAAAAACAGTGCAGCTTTACCTGAGATTATCAAGCCAGAGGTTCTTAAATTTGCGGTAATGTTTGAGCATAGATGCAAGGAGGGCTCTAAAGCTATTTTCCACTTAGAAGCATTCTTAGCTAGAGTCATGGCAATCTTCAAGGGCTATCAAATCAGAGCAATGGGCTAGAAGCAATATTGAGATTGTTGTTTATTAAGTTAATGATTGGATGAAGGTATTATTAGTATACATTAATTAGAAATAAATTAGTAATAATATGCAATCATTCATAAATTCAAACTCTTTCTTCTTTTTATCATGGTGTCTCTGTTAGGATCCCATTTCAAAGAATTGCAGAGCTTCCAGCTTAATGGACAATTAGATTAGGGAATAAAATATTTAAAGGAGGAGTTAGTAGTTTGTTGTGAGTCAACTTATTTAGCAAAATTATCTATATTTTGATAAGAAAAATCTTGAGTATTACTTGTTTATTAGAGACTATAATCCAATTCATTACAATCGCATAAAAGCAATTTCTTCTTTTCATTGAGCTTCACTTTGCTTTTGATACTCTTCAAGTTATCTGTCAAGATCTTTTTGAGCTATTTGAGATTAATGAAAAAAAATAATATTACCAAGATCCTTAAATCCACCCTTTTCCCAGTAGGCGTTGAGTTGTTGATCGAGTTTATCTTTTCTATCGGCTGGATCGCCTCCTCTTCTTCCTTCTCCGGCACCACCTCTGTTGCCTCCTCTTCTGCCTCCACGACCTCCACGGCCTCCAAGTCTACCTCTACCGCCTCTTCTTTCAAATCTCTAGCCTCCTTGCTGGCCATCATCAAAAGATCTGCGACCACCTCTATTGCCGCCAAATCCTCTGCCTCCGCCTCTGACAACACGTCTACCTCCGAAGTCATCGCCTTATGGTCTGTCACGCTTAAAGCCACCGCCGATAGCTCCTCTATTATTTTTAAATTATAAATATTTGAATTTACCTTCCTCCTCTGAATCCACCTCTGCGAGCTCCGCCTCTTCCTCCGAATTTTACCATATTATTAATTTATTATTTTAAATTTTCAAGAATTTTTCGTTAATTTACATTGAGGGGTTTTGGGGTTTTGGGGTTTTGGGG